AAAGCCACAGCCCTTCTGAGTTCGGTGCTTGAGCCCCAAAAATCCCCCAGGCTTCTCAGGAGGGAAGCTTCACCACACCACCGCGGCATCAGGCTCAGCAAGGCTGATGCAACAGCCCAAAGGTGAGCAGCACCAAATGAATACAAAAGCTGAAATCCGCGTTTCTTGCCCCGGGGGAGAGGCTGGGGGTGCAGGCAGCTCCAGCAGCGCTGCCCTGCCCTTTGCTCCGAGCGAGCAGCCGGCCAGCAGAGGATGCACGCGTTTGCACAGGGCTGAGCTCGCCCGCCCGGCTCCTGGGCTGGGACGCTCCAGGCCTTCTGCTTCAGCGCTGTTACACAACCGCTGTTATGAAGAAAATTCAATTACAGAAGTTATTTGTAAGCGCCAGTGCACCAGTGAGCATCAGGGAAACGCGAGCTGCGATGGTCCAGAGGTTACCGGCTGGCCTGGGGCGAGCGGATTGCCTCCCGGGGGGGTGGCTGCTCTTTGCAGCGACTGGAGCAGAGGAATTTCCAGGAGATGAAAAGAAAAGCCAAGGCAGTTTCATAGAGTAAAATATCTTAATATTTATTGTGTCTCAGGACAAAAGAGTTCTACTCAATACACAAAAACGAGATAAAGCAGCATATAATACTGACAATCAAGTCACAGCTGACTCGGTGCAAGGACACCTACCAAGGTAAAGGCACCAGGAGCTACATCACCAAACCTCGCTACAGCTTACAAAGAACCACTACAGCCTGTAGTACAACTATAAAAAAGTATATAAAACCCAGGGCAAGGATAAGAGAGAGCTTGGCAACAAGCCGAGACCTTGCCGAGCCAAGGGCTTCAGGCAGGCAGGGCCGTGTTTTAACAGGGCAACAGCCCCATCTCGAGAGCAACCGCGTCCGGAGAGCGAGGGGACATCAAGGGGCTGCCGGCGATGGGGGGAAGCATCGCTTTCCCGACAGAGGCACAGAAGATGAGCACCGGGAGCCCCGCGAGGCCGCCAGCACAGTCGACTCGGCATGGCACTCGAGCGCAACGCCGAGGAGAGCGCGGGGGTCTGCGGCGCCCTGGGGAGCGCGCGTGCTGTAACCACCGCAGCTACACTAATTATCCCAGGCGGTGGCACAGCAGAGTAGTGTTAGGACAAATCCCTGAGCGCACCAGGACAGCTGCTGCACTCGCTTCTATGAGCTGGTGGAGAAGGAGATCAGTCAGTTCAAAGCAAGATTTCACAAAGTGGCATCCAGAGGAAAACTGGAGGTGGTGGCATCCTCCCCGGCGGCGGCGAGCATACCCTGCAATGCACAAGAGAAAGCGTCAACAGACAAGGCTGGCTTTATACACAGATTAAAACGATGTAGCAGATGCAGTCTTGCAGGTGTCCCCTATCCCCACACACCCCCAAAAGCAGTACCCGCCGCTGTGCTGAAGCTCCCTAGGGGTGACCAGGCAGCAGCCAGGGGTGCAGAGGCATCCCACCGAGCTCACTCCGCTGGACAGACATACCCAGCCACAGCCACAGCGCGCCGGGGGCCAGCTACACCATCTCGTACTGATTGTTCGTGATGTACTGGGACAGGCAGCAGGCGAGAATGATGCCAACCAGCTGAAAAAGAGGAAAAAAAAAACCAATCCCACACATCAGAGGCAGCCAAAACCAGGACGTGGTGTTTTAGGGGACAAATTGCTCCAGAGCATCAGTTTTTATAAAATCCAAAGATCAACAGTGGGATTTATAAACCAAAACATGGGCTGCTGTGCCCTGCTTTGGAGTAACCGAGAAGGGCTGAAGCGGAGCATCCTGGCAGGCATCCACCAAACAAGCTCCGCACAAGAGAGGCTCCACGTCCCATCCTGCTACGTTTTGCTTCGCGAAGCGTCTACTGTTTTATGGTAATTTCAGAGATTACACAGATATCAGGAGCGTCACAGGCAATTACACAGCCGCCAGAGAACAGCAGCCACCTCTCCCCGTTGCAAGGACAGGGGGGAAGTGAGGTTGCTGTGTTTGCATCACCATCTGAAGGACACGCTACTGTTATCACACCGTGGCCTCCCAGCCCCCACACAGACATTTAGGGCCAGATCCCGCAGGAGTCTGACCTACACCAGCAATGTTAGAGGCACATTTGCATGGTGGGTCCCTGCCGGCCGCACGACACAAGCAAGGCTTGCTGGAAGAGCGATAAAAGCCAAGAACCGGTTACGGCTCCCAAACCTGGCATCAGCCGGGATAATTTCGCGCTGGGAGCGTGCAGCTCACCGTTTGTGTGTCGGTCACACCTCGGTGACCCCACGGCGAGCACAGCCCAACTGAGGAGGAGATCGGGGCGAGCAGCTGGGCGCAGCAGAGCGGCTCCGGCTCTCGGGCTCTCCCGGCCGCAACCGAAAGCGCTTGGCAGCAAAAGCCGCAGGCAGGGGCTGTCGGCTCCCGCCTCTCCCCCTGTTTAGCACATCCGTTACGGGAAACGCACAGCAACACACTCGTTACAGGAGAAATATCTTGGCAGGGTTCCTTCTCCCTGTGCTGGCGCGGTCAGCCGGTGGTCCCAGGGCAAGGCACCTGGAAGCTTCATGCCACGGCTTCTGCATGCCGGATCAAGGAGAGGGTGAATTCAAGCCCCTCCAAAGCCGAGGCCAGCTGAGCTCGCTCTGCAGCTGCTCGGAGCCGAGAGCCCAGCAAGCTTCCCCAAACCAGCTACAGAAGGACCGGCTGTGCATCTTGCAGCTCCTGCCGCGGAGCATGGGAAAACCCTCAGCACCTCGGGAAGCCCCGCCGCAGGCTCTGCGTGCCCGAAGCCCAGCGTGGTGGAGCTGGGGGCAGGGGCCTCTCGTTTCCTGCCAGGATAAAGCAGGGGCCGGCAAGCCCGCCGCCGCCGCAGCTCCCGCAGGAAGAGTCCTACAGGATAAAGTAAAGGAGAGGCTGGGGAGCGGGAGGGAGAGGAAGCAATCGTGGGGTAAGGCAGCGTGCGGGGCGTGAGCCGCCAGCGCGAGCGGTGCCCCACGGGCGCTGACAGGGACCCAGCAATGCAGAAGTGATGCCAAAATGCCTCCCTGATAAAAAGAAAGGTCAGGGGGTAGGAAAAGGAAGGGCGTGATTTGATCCCTGCCAACAGCAAACGCAGGGAGTTCACCTGGCACAGCACCATTTGGGTTTTCTTAAAGTCAGTTGTTTCAGACAGGAGCTCTTCTCAAATAACCCGGGCTCACAGAAACAGAGCTGGTGCTTCAGCCCTGGGTTTAAGAGACTGGAGACAGCACAGTGGTGAGATTAAATCCAAGGGGAATGTGCAGAATAGCTGCTCCTCCCTGGCTGAAACAGGCCGTGCCTTCTGTACACACACCGCCAGGGTTTGCACAGAAATTAAATCCCTCCGGAGACAGGCTAGCGTCACTGCGCTCCCGCGCCAGCCAGCAAGGGAGAGTTACCTGGAAGCACGCGACGCCAAAGGAGATTCCGGCCACAACACTCATTTTTGACTCCATCGTTGACGTTACCAGGAAGAAACAACCCTGTGGAGGAGGGAAAATGAGCACGCGGGGTCAGTGCTTTTCACCCCCCAGGAGCACAAACCGGCACCTCCCCAGAGCACCGGCAGCTCCGGGGGAAGATGCACCCAGGCGGGAAGCCGAGGGCTTCTGGCTGCCACCCTCCTGCCTGATGTTGGCAAAATCATTTCCCTATCAGCGCCGCGCCGCAGCCTCCCAGCCCAGCCCCCCGTTATCAGGGGGGAGCGCTGCCCTTGGGCTGCTCCCAGCCAGAGCCTTGGGTTGAGCGAGGTGACTCAGAGGAGGAACATCCCTTGCATCACTCAGCTGTCCCTGCTGGATGAGGTCACCCGCGCCTCAGGACTTTGCACGGCTGGCGAGAGATGTCAGCGCTGCCGAAACTAACTTTACCGGGAAATTACCTCCTTATTCACCTGGTCACCCTGAGCACAAACACTTGGCTCCGGCTGGTCCCTGACCTCCAAAGAAGGACTGGGGGGGACCTCAGACATGAGGGAGGGCTCGTTTCTCCATACTCATCCCCTACCCCCAACCCAGAGGAGTCCCCAGGCCACGCGGTGTCTGCATCGCGAGGGTTCTCCTCCCAAGCCTCCCAGAGAAGGGCAAGCCCTTCTCCACCCACGCAGCTCAGCCCTCCTCACCTCCAGGACTGGCAGGGGGATTTTTCTGAGCTTAACTTACATCCACAAACACCTTCAGCTTGGCTTTGTTCACGTCTTTCAGATCCTCCTCTGAGCAGTCGTCCTGGCTCTTGCAGCAGCTCCGGGGGATGCCCCGCTGGGTGAAGTATTCAGTCCGCTCCCAGTCTGAGTAGTTCTGCACCCCGCAGCAGTGCAGCTGGAGGGGGAAGCACATTTGGGGAGCACGGTCACACCAGGGTACTGACCCCCCAGTCCTACCACCACTCCCAAGGCTCCCCTGCTCGCTCCTCTCTAGGAACTGTCCCCATCTCACCCAGCATCTCCTCCCAAACTCAAAAGAGCGTGGTGCAAAAGAGCCCCCAGCACTGCAACAGGGATGCCAATACCACAAGGGGTCCCGGGGGACGCCCCAGGGCAAGGCGAGCGTACCCACCCCCCCCCATCCAGACACCAGCCCGGGGCACTCACGGTTCTCTGGATGGTGTCGACGGCCTCGCTGTGCCGATCCGCGGTCACGTTGTAGTCCCTCAAGGCCAGGTCGAGGTTGCTCTCGAAGTTTGTCTTAATCTGCAAGAGAGAGGTCTCTGCCGCGGTGCCGTCCCCTCCCGCTCTTCGGGACCCACAGCCCTGCGTTAGTCACCGCTCGGCGACGGCAGGAATGACTCCGGCCATGGCCAGCAGACGTTTCCCCGGCCACCCAAGCAATTAAACGCTGTATTAAAGGGCAGGCTGGGGTGCGCTGTGGCGGCAGGGATGCTGCGTGTAAGAACAAGGACCTGTGCGGTGCCAACTCCCCCCCAAGCAGACTGCTCTGTGGAGCTTTAATTAGAGAAATTATTGCAGAACATACACCAAAGCCAGAAATTAAAGTCCAGGGCTACTTACTTTGCCTGTTCTGGCGGAGGGGCAGCGTGCCATGCCAGGCAGGCCCTGCACCCAGCCTTGTCCTTATGGGTCCTTAATGGGGACCGAGCTGCTCTTTGGGCCGTTTTAACCCCATTTTAGCTAAACTAAGCACTGCTCCCAGCAGCACCTCTGTCCCTCCAGCAGCATCTGCAACTGCACTTGGGTTAAAACCAGCATCCAACTCTCTCCGCACCATGGGGAGACAGCAGTGGCCACCCAGACTCACCTCGTGCCTGAAGACGAACCCCACAACAGCGGCCACCAGGACGATGAGGAAGATGAGGGACAGGAGCATGGCATACTGTGGGCAGAAAGGGCGGGATGGGACAGAGTGGATGTGATGGGGTGGGATGGGGTAGGATGGGATGGGATGGGACGGGATGGGGTAGGACGGGATGGGATGGGATGGGGTAGGACGGGATGGGATGGGGTAGGACGGGATGGGATGGGGTAGGATGGGACGGGATGGGGTAGGATGGGGTAGGACGGGATGGGATGGGATAGAATGGGACGGGATGGGATGGGATGGGACAGGACGGGATGGGATAGGATGGGATGGGATGGGATGGGGTTGGGATGGGGAAGGATGGGGCAGGGAAGGATGGGAC